GAGGCCTGTCGAAGATGAGTTGTGAGAAATTGAGGTTTTGCTTCTGGAATCTCAATTCTATTCCATTGATCTATATGCCTGTTCCTATACCAATACCAAGCTGTTTTGATGATTGTAGCTTTATAGTAAAGTTTGAAGTCTGGTAATGTGATATCACCTGCTTTGTATTTTTTTGCTGAGGATTGTTCTGGCTATTCTTGGACGTTTGTGTTTCCATATGAATTCCTGTGTTGTTTATTATAGGTCTGAGAAGAATGTTGCTGGTAATTTGATGGGTATTGCATTGAATTTGTAGATTGCCTTCGGTAAGATGGACATCTTCACAATGTTGATTCTTCCAATCCATGAGCATGGGATAGTTTTCCACTTGTTTGTGTCATCTTTGATTTCTTTGTGCAGTGTTTTGTAATTTTCATTGTAAAGGTCTTTCACGTCTCTGGTTAGGAAGATGCCAAGGTATTTCTTTTTTTTTTGTGGCTATAGTGAATGGAATTGTGCTTTTTACTTGGGTTTCTGTTTGCTTATTATTGGTGTAGAGAAATGCGATTGTCTTTTGTACATTTATTTTGTATCCTGAGACTTTGCCAAAGGCCTTTATCAGTGTAAGGAGGTTTTTGACAGATTCTTGTGGGTTTTCAAGGTACACAATCATATCATCTGCAAAGAGAGATAACTTGACTTCCTCTTTTCCTATTTGGATACCTCCTCTTCTCTGATTGCTTGAGCCAGGACTTCCAATACTATGTTGAACAGGAGGGGTGAGAGTGGGCATCCTTGTCTTGTTCCATTTTCAGGGGAAATGGTTCCAATTTTTGTCCATTTAGGAGTATGCTGGCTGTGGGTTTCTCATAGATGGCTTTTACTATTATGAGGTATGTTCCCCGTATGCCTAGATGTTCAAGGGTTTTTATCAAGAAGGGGTGCTGGATTTTATCAAAAGCTTTTTCTGCATCTAATGATATAATCATGTGGTTTTTGTTTTGACATCTGTTGATGTATTTAATTACATTTATGGTTTTACGAATGTTTAACCAGCCTTGCATCCCAGGAATGAAGCCTATACTTGGTCATGATGGATGATTTTTCAGATGTATCGCTGAATTTGGTTTGCTAGGATCTTGTTGAGAATTTTAGCATCTATGTTCATCAAAGATATTGGCCTGTAGTTCTCTTTCTTTGTTGGATCTTCTCCTTGCTTGGGTGTCAATGTGATGTTGGCTTCGTAAAATGATTTGGGGAGAGTTCCATCTTTTTCAATCGCCTGGAATACCTTCAGTAGGATTGGAATCAGTTCCTCCTTAAATGTCTTGTAGAATTCTGCTGGAAAGCCATCTGGACCAGGGCTTTTTTTTGTAGGAAGTTTTCTTATTATGTAGTCGATTTCCTTGATTGTTATTGGTCTATTTAGGGTCTCAATTTCTTCTTGTTCCAATCTAGGTAGGTTGTGTGATGTCAGAAAGTCCTCCATTTCCTTAAGGTTTTCAAGTTTGTTTCCATACAAGTGTATATAGTAGTCTCTAATGGTCTTTTGTATTTCTTCAGGGTCAGATGTGACTTCAACTTTTCTGTTTCTGATTGTGTTCATTTGATTTTTTTTCCGTTTTATCTTGGTCAGTCTAGCTAGGGGACCATTGATCTTGTTTATCCATTCAAAGACCAGCTTTTTGTTTCATTGATTTTTTTGTATTATCTTTTTGTCTTCTATGTCCTGGATTTGGGCTTTTATTTTGGTGATCTGGATTCTTCTGCTGAAATTAGGGTTATTGTGGTCTTGCTTTTCCAGCTTCTTTAGGTGGCTTGTTAGGTTGTTAATTTGTGTTCCTTCCATTTTCTTCATGTGTGTTTGTAGGGATATAAATTCCCCTCCTACTACAGCTTTCAAGGCATCCCAGAGATTTTGGTAAGATGTTTCTTCATTTTCATTTGTTTCCAGGTATCTTTTGATCTCTGTTTTGATTTCATCATTGACCCAGGAGTTGTTTAGCATCATGCTGCTTAGTGTCCATGTCTTTGTGGGTTTTGGGGGGACTTTGTTGGTGTCAATGATTATTTTTATTCCACTGTGGTCCGAGAAGGTGCATGGTAGAATTTCGGTCCTTTTAAATTTGCTTATGCTTGATTTATGGCCAATTAGGTGGTCGATCTTAGAATACGTTCCATGTGGTGATGAGTAGAATGTATATTCTGTGGTCTTTGGATGGAGTGTTCTTCAGCTATCAATTAAGTCTGTTTGGTCCAAAGTCACATTGAGGTTCCGGATCTCCTTGCTGATTTTTTTGTCCTGATGATCTGTCTAGGGTTGTGAGTGGGGTATTAA